AACCCCAGCTCACTACCCCTCTTCAGAGGCAGGGCAGTGCATCCGGGGCAATGGGGGGATGGGGGAGGTGATGCCTGGCTGCCTCCCCCCACCCAAAAAAAACAACCTAGCCAAGAAGCCTGGGCCAGTGTTCCAGCCATGGGCTTTGGGCACAACACCCAGCTCCAGTCATAATTTTTGAGCACTGACCGCCCCCGCTCTGGCCACATGGCCCTGGCCTTTGGGCTTCAGGCTCCAACCCGTCTGCAGCAGTGGGCCCTGAACCCTGGCACTGGCCATGTGGCACCACCCCTGGTGGCAGCCAGCAGCCCTGGGTGCTGATCAGCAGCGACTCACTCTGACCCCCAGCCCTGGCCACTCACACCAGGCGCTAGCTCTGGCTGCTGGCCTCTGGCCCCGGCAGCATGGGGAACAGACCCTGGCCATGAAGCAGCAGACACTGATCCTCCATGCAGATCTGTGCTGGCGGGCCCTGAGTCTTGGCCCTGGTCACTGATCCCAGGCACTGACCCTGGATGCTGAGCCTGGGCACTGGCCATTCAGCAGTTGTCCCTGGCCCTGTGCACTGGTCACCAGCCCTGGGTACGCAGGAGTGGGGAGCCAACCACAGGTCCTAAACCCTGGCCATGCAGCAGCAAGTGCCAGCTCTGGCCATGTAGGGACAGATGCTGGCTCTGGCCACAGAGCAGCAGGCATTTTGTCCTGGGCACCTATTCCCACTCCAGCCTCGCTCTGCAGGACTCCCTACCCAGTCCCATTGCCTCTGCTGCCTCCCCCAGTCCTGCATCCATCACCCCCTCACTGCCCCTAGATCCTGCTGATTCCCCCTCCAACATTCGCACCTCAGGCATAATTGATCCTGCAGCTTGCTGAGAAAAGTGATAGTAACAAACCTGCAAGTATCACCTTTCACTGCAGACTTGCTATATGGGAGGCTGCAAAAAGTGATAGTTGTATGTTTAGTGTTACTTACTCATTACCTGTGAGGCTGTGAAAAGTGGCAAGTGTCCTATGAAAAGTGATATTAACAAACCTACAAATAGCACTTTTCACAGCATTATTTCAGAGTCAGGAAAAGCCTACATACATTACAATGATGTGGATGCATGTGTGCGCATATTTACTTTTGCTAGTGTTAATCAAGTATTTTAGGAAAAAATCTCCAGGTGGCCACCAGCAAGAGTTGGTGGCCACATAGTGAGGTCACCAAAAGATGTTGTGAGAACCCCCTGACTGAGGTGGCAGAACTAGATACAGGTGGAACTGACTCTTAACTCCTGCAGTACTGGCCTGCATTGTGGCAACGTTTCTTCCCAACCCCCCTCAGATAGTGGTTAGTTTAAAGACTGAAGTACCAAGGTTATTTTTTGGTATTTTAAAATGTACGTTGGTATTAAATGCTGTTATAAAACTCTGGATGTTCTTGTTACCCATGTAAATCTCCAGTCCTTTTCTTGACCCCTGCTAATCTCTTGGCCTCGATATCTTGTAGCAGTGAGTTCCACAGGCTAATTGTGGATTCTGTAACTACAACATTTCCTTTCAGTTGTTTTAAATGGCACTACTTTGATTTTTATAAATCAAAGGGAATCGAAATATAATTTCATCTTCCTTGTGTAGCTCTCTGTACAGTGAGATCACATGGAATGTGCAGGGAAGGTGAGTGAGGTTTGGCAGCTTTGGAATCTGAACAAATTGGTGGCAGAGGCAATGGGTAAAGTGCATATCCGAAGTTTATTCCTCTCCACAAACAAGTGTAAAGTGACTGTAAATCAAACACAAAACAAAGAAGAAAGCTATTTCCAGTGATATAGAAGCCAACCCTGGTGCTCCTTCCAGGCTCCCTTCCCCTCGGCTCTGCACCCCTTGCTGAGCACTGACAGATTTCTTCTCAGGAACAGAGGGGAACTGCTCGCCTCTGTCGGAGAGGGGGAACAAAGTCTAGCAAGGGAACGCCTCTAGGTTGTACCTGACTGCGTGGAAAACAAAGGGCGGGGGGAGGTCCCTACAGATGTCCTGGCACAGTGATGTGGAAGTTGACAGGGAAACGACACTGCTTACCTTTGGGGCACAACTATCAGCTTTCCAGTGTTATCCATCCAGAACAGCTACACTCCCCTTTGCCACCCCCACGCCCCTCTCCAGAGGGTTACGTCCTCCAATGATCCAGTCACAACTGCCAAGGAGAGAGGTGCACTGAATCCGACTGGGGAACAGAGCTGCCCTGCTGCAGGGGCCTGGGCCGTCCTCTGGGAGCCTGTCCTCAGCCTAGCCTCACCTTCTCACTGGCACCCACAGCCATTCCCTAGTCTTGTTCCTGCCCTTCAACCATCAAAACTCAGGGGAAGGGAGTGGGGAGCAACAGCTGTGGCCAAAGGCAGCTGCTTCTTCGTACCAGACTCATGCGGTGCCTCCATCTCAGCCAGCCCATTGGCACAAAGCTTCTGTTCGGAGCCCCCACCACTAGGCAGAAGTGGACTAAGCAATGCCTTGGGGCCCCCTTCCCTTTGTATTGCATGCGTGAGGGGACAAACATTCCTGTGCAGGGCCACCTGCCTCTGCTGGGGAGTGCCACACGGGCGCTCCTGTCCCCAGTGCAGGGAGGAGACCTACGGAACGTCCCTGTCCTGCAGTCCCTGGAATTCTGTAACCTATCAGCATGCTGGAGAGAGAAAGGAAAACTATGGGCTCTGAAAATCCCGACTCTCTCCCGTCCTGCATAAATGGTGGCAGCAGGGGCAGAAACCAGCAATGGTGCAGGGGGTGCGGGACAGACACAGCCCTCAGCTGACCATGACTCTCACCCAATGTCTGTTCTGGCTCAGTCTCAGCCTGCAGCGCCCCCTTCTGCTCCAGTCCTGGTCCTTGCCGGGCCAGGGGACAGTGGTGGCATCCTGCTCTGATAGGAACTCTGCTCAGCAAAACGCTCTGCAGAGAGACAGGAGCCCCCTTTAACTTGGCTCTGAATATGGATTTGGCTCCAGGTCTAACACCCCTCTTCCCCCCGTTCTCACCTCTTACACGCCCTCGCTACCTTGCTCCTGCTCAGTCCCACTTTCAGACCTGCCGTTCCTGAGCCTCTCGTGCCAAACGGGAGTTCCCAACAGTCCCCGTCTCCTCCAGGGAATTCCAGTGACATTGGAGCCCCCCTGCCTTTCTAAGGGTCCGTCTTTGCTATGGAGCTACCTGCAGGGTTTCCCTTCTATTGCCCCAGCCTCACTCCTGTTCACACACAGCCCTGTGGCTCTATATGCTAAACCCCAGGTCAGGCTTTCACTTGGGCTGGGCTGGCAACCCACATGCTTTGCAGAGTGGACACGGGCTAAGCCACTTGAGTGGTGATCGTCCTCCAGCACCTTCCCACAATTCCTTGCTGTGCCCAGAAGGCGACAGTGCGAGTACACCCCAGTGTGGCGTGCCGGTACGAGTGGCTGGCTGGGAGTGGAGCGCTGGATGCTGTTGGGCACTGTACAGGGGCGGGCCCGAGGCAGCAAATACAGCCCCCGCTGGGCGGGGTGGCCGTGGTACACCCAGACTCTAGCCCCAGGCAGCAAAGTCCCCACTGTCCTGGCCAGCCTCAAGCTCCCCTACTTGACTCTCCCCCCCAATACTTCCCACCCCTTGCCCTGAGCTCCCACACACGATGCTGCCCGCTGCACTCCTCCCACAGTGAATATTTGTACAGGCTCTGTGGTATCCCCCCCCCCCCACCCCC